CATGTTCGGCGCCCCTGCCCCGGGGGCCCAGCCGCTCCGCGGCACGTGGGATCTTCCTGGACCAGGGCAAGACCCCGTGTCCCCTGCAGCAGCAGGCGGACTCTCAACCACTGTGCCACCAGTGAAGCCCTTCATTGTGGTTTTGATTTTTCTGGGTAACTTTTCATGTGCTTATTGGATATTTGTATTTTCTTTGGAGAAATGACTATTCAAATCCTTTGCCTTTATTTGTCTTTTTATTGTTGAGTTGCAAACCTTTTTATATTCTGGATATAAGTCCTTTTTCAGAGACATGATTTGTGAATATTTTCTCCCATTTGATGGGTTGTCTTTTCACTTGATGATATTGTGTGCATCACAAAAGTCTTTGATTTGATGAAGTCCAATTTATCCATTTTTTTCTTTTGTTGCTTGTGCTTTTGGTGTCATATCTAAGAAAACATTGTCTAACTCAAGGCCACAGAGATTTACTCCTGTATTTTCTTCTAAGAATTTTATAGTTTTAGCTCTTACATTTAGGTCTATGATCTACTTTGAGTTAATTCTTGTGTACAGTGCGAGGTAGGAGTCCAACTTCATTCTTTTGCATATGGATATCCAGGTGTCCCAACGCCATTTGTTGAAAAGGTTATTCTTTCTCCCATTTAATTGTCTTGGCACCCTTGTTAAAGATCAATTGAACATACATGTCCTCATAGAACTTTGAAAAGATCTTAGATATCATTTCCTCTATAAATATTTCAATATGTATATCTAAAGATGGGAACCTTTTTTTTTTTACAAAATTTAACTGCAGTGACATTATACAACTAACAAACTAACAATATTTTCTTAGTATCACAAAATATGTAGTCAATGTTCATATTTTCCCAACTGTCTTGTTGGAGAATTTATTTACAATTTATTTAAATCAAGTTCCCAGTAAGATCCATACATTTTTTCCTTGCAATTTATTTGTAGAAGAAATTGGACTCTTCATCCAATAGTGTTTCTCACAGTCTAGATTTTGTTGATTCAGTCCCTGTAGGGTAATTTCATTTGTTACTTTGTCTGTTGATTTTCTCTAAATTGGTAGTAGACTGTAGGTAGTAAATCAAATTCAGAACGTTTGAGTTTTGCTTTCTTGGCATTACTATGTTATAAGAGGTGGTGGTCCTTCTGTCAGGAGGCACACAGTGTCAGGCTGTCTCTGTTTCGTGATGTCAGCAGCCATTGTTGATAGTTGCCTAAGTGTCACCTTCCCTTTAAAACATCTAATTTCCCAGGATAGGACTGACTCATCTTTTCTCAGTGTGCACACCACACCACTCCATAGAATGTATTGCGTTGTACTATTAAATACACCTCCCGCATTTTATCTATTCACATGTGATTCTCCACAGGGACTAATATGTATCTGGCTTACAGCAGGCATCAACAGATAAGGCAAAATGGTCCTAGAGCTGAGAGGATGACATTTGAAGTCCAATGGCTGTACAAGTGACTTAATCTCTTTTCAGTGGTGGCAAGAGCCAACTGTCAACATTTCAGGAATTTCACAAGTGGGTTATTAAACACAGCTGTTATCAAAAATTAAA